GAGCACTGTACTGATATGGATTGTTTCACATAACAGGCTGTTATTCATGTAAGGAACGTTAGGGGTAGGACAGATAAGACTTGTATTTCTTACAGATAAGAACACTCTCTCTTTGTAGTCTGTGAAACTGTCCTTGAACATGGAGTACAGTGGAATGGTGTCTTTTTGGGTGCTGACTCCGCAGGTTATTATCATAGCAACCTATGCCTGGCAACAGTGCAACAAATGGAATGCCGAGGAATTGGGACCAACCCCTGCGCCAACGGATTGGCTGAATGGATTCTGGACCACACTCAGTCCTTTGCTCTGGTTGGCCAACAGAAGAGGTGGAGGCTTTCTTGTCAGAGTATTTGAGAAAGAATCTGTAAACAATAATTCTAGTTCTCAGAGTGCCCTGCGTGGTATCTCGGTGGACCCGTATATACGAACCTTCATACTTATCATACATACATTTTGCATATAATAAATTAAGCTTGGATTGAAGATCTCTTGATTCTTATTCCAATACCAGATTTGAATTACGCAATTTCTAACAATTGGTGACCCCGACGTGATCTGGTAGCGGAACTTCACTTCGCTGGAATTCATCCAGCCTATTGGACAATCGCTGTCTTCGAACCGTGTGTTTCACAAATCGCCCGGGCTTTTAAAAAGGTAAGCAAAACACCTATTGTAATATAACTGAAGTTTTGCACATTGGCTTTATCCAAATTAATTTTGTGAAGCACCTGTTTGATGTAAGTGAACCCTATTATACTATAAATAACGATTACAGTATACTATTTCGACTTCATAATATACTATGCAAATGTTTGATAATTGTGATGGTTAAACCCATGGGAGTGCGACGCTATGACTGAAGGCTCATAGGAGCTACTTTAAAATAGATTAGACAGTGCGACGCTATGACTGAAGGCTCATAGGAGGTACTTTAAAATAGATTAGACAGTGCGACGCTATGACTGAAGGCTCATAGGAGGTACTTTAAAATAGATTAGACAGTGCGACGCTATGACTGAAGGCTCATAGGAGGTACTTTAAAATAGATTAGACAGTGCGACGCTATGACTGAAGGCTCATAGGAGGTACTTTAAAATAAATAATAATAATAATATGCCATTTAGCAGACGCTTTTATCCAAAGCGACTTACAGTCATGCGTGCATACATTTTTGTGTATGGGTGGTCCCGGGGATCGAACCCACTACCTTGGCGTTACAAGCGCCGTGCTCTACCAGCTGAGCTACAGAGGACCACAAATAGATTAGACAGTGCGACGCTATGACTGAAGGCTCATAGGAGGTACTTTAAAATAGATTAGATAGTGCGACGCTATGACTGAAGGCTCATAGGGGGTACTTTAAAAGTTAGACAGTGCGAGTGTGGTCGTATGAATGAGAGTGTGAATGACAAGCCTGTATATTTTGTTAGAAAACTAATTGGAAGTTAAAACGTCTGTGGCTGTCCAAACTGTGTAATTTGGGGATAACTGTTGGGTTCGTGATTGTTTAAACCATAAAACCCATCAATAACAATTGGGAACATAAAGCTAAAATGATTAATTGTGTGACTGAACTGGTTTTGAATAGTTGTGTTGAAACAATTTGGTTTATTATTTGATTCAGTGTTTGATGTTTGACATAGCATAATACTGGTTTTAGGTGCTTGGGTTGAGGCTTCTTTTTTGTTGATTATTTGATGTAATGTTTGATGTTTGACCCTGCAAAATACTGGTTAAACAATTAGACTGAAATAATTCGGTTTATCATTTAAATATAAACATGCACCAACTTTAACTAATTAGGTGGGAATAATTTGATTTAAATAACTAGATGAAAGTACTCTAAATAACCACAGAATATTGGAAACACTAACACAGCTCCTCGAAAGAGCCTGCTCCCACCAGAGGAGAGGGAGAGAGAGTTGCGAGGGGAGGGGCTGGAGACAGCGAGAGTGTGGCTTTTGAAGAGTCAGGAGAGAGAGAGAAGGGGGGTGATTTAGATTGATACAAACAATTATTGATGGGTTAGGACTGGGGATATCTGTATCATTTATATTTGCATTTTTGGTTATTTAGTTAAATAAAGTGGTCTAATGGTATTACTATTACCCATTTGCGTTTTAAACTAAAAATATTAGACCATTAACATTGAAAGCACTTTTTATACAAAATACTGGAGTCAGTAAGGTTTTAAATTACAATTAAGAATAAATAATAAAGTTCTTAAAACAAAAGTATAGATACAACAACATTGGCAAAAATGACAGATAAAGTAATTAAAGTGTTGAAATCCACCCTCGAGATAAATGGGGGAAAAGACGGGAAGGAATGGAAGAGGAGAGGAGAAAAGTTATACAAAGAATGGATAGCAGATGGATGGATAATGGCAATGAATGGAATCCCAGGGGAAGGAGAACCGAGGACAATACTGACAGCCCTGAAGAACAGAACACAGAAGGCAGTAAGTGAGTGGAAAGATGAAGGAGAGCCCCTCAAAGGGAAGTCCAAAGACGCGATGGAGAAAGCCAGGTTAAAGGAGCGGATTGGTTTGGCTATGTTGGAGAAACTAAAGAAAATGTGGGAAGACAAAGCACCACCCAAGATAACAAATCGGTTGTATCCAGCCCTGCCATCGGCCCCACCACCGTATGAAAACCCTCCAAAAACAATGGCACCAGTGTTGGAACTGACTGGGCAGGTACAGTATCAGCAGAAAGACGGCGTGCTGCAGGATACATGGGTGGGTGAAGAAGAGGTGAATAGACGAAGAGGTGATATCGAACAGATGATGAAAACTGCACGAGAACTGAAAGAACAGATTTCTCAGCTGAGTAGACTGGATAAAGAGGAAGAAGACTCAGAGAGAAGTACAGAGTACCGGGACTTGTGTCGAACCGGAGCAAGTGAGAGAGAGAATGAGGAAATAGGAGGTAGAAGCACAGCCAGTTCAACCATTTATGACAACAATGCCGAATTAAAAAAGGAACTGAAAGTACTGGAAAAGCAGGTGAGAGAAGACAGAAAGGAGCTGGCACTCACATCACTGCAAAGAACACCAGAGCCAAGTGGGGGCCATTGTATTGATTTGGGAGAAGAAGAGGAAGAGTATGAAGACGTAAAGCAGACAAAAATGCTCTATGGAGCTTTTCAAGGAGATATTTGGGATGAGGAAGGGCCTGCACAACGCACACGGGCCAAAACTCAAGGGAGAGGGGGTAACTGTGGGGGTCAGTACCCTCTGAGAGAAACAACAGTGGGAGCTTCAGTATACAAACCCTGGCCACACAGAGATGTGCAAACTCTGGTTGACAGTTTACCCCAGCCTGAAGAATCAGGACACAGGTGGGTGAAGGCTTTTGAGAGCCTTACTGCAGCAGATGAACTCACCATAGGGGATATGGTGGCAGTGATGAACAGGTGCATGGGAGATCATGAATGCAAAGAGATACTCACACAAGCAGGCCTGAGAGGAATAGTAGGAGCAGCAACTGGTTTTGATCGATACCGAACTGTCATATGGGATGCAGTTAGAAGGAAGTATCCCACTCAGGCAAGGCCAGATCTCATGAGAACACTGACGCTGAATGATGATGAAACCATACCAGCCTACATGAAGAGGGCAAAGTGCCTCTGGAGACAAGCATGGAATGAAGAGCCCACCAAAAATACAATGAGTCACCTCTTCCTGGCAAACTGCCTGGGGGGACTCCCAGACCAGGCCCGGGTAGAGTGTGAAAAGGTTGTGGCACTCACAGCAAAATCCATCCCAGAGTTCACAGAGATAGCCCAACATCATGTGGAGCGATGGAGGGAAGGCAAGAGGAAGGAGGAAGACGAACTAAAGCAGCTACAGAAGAAAGTTTTGAAAAAACAACTGGCTGAAGACAAACCAGGCAAACAGATGGTTGTGACCAGTACCCCGAATCCACAGGGTGTGCCAGATATTGATCCAGCTGCAGCCGCGGCTGCTGCAGTAGTACAGGCAATGGCTGGGATGATGGCACCCCGGATGATGGCTCCTGTGGGGCCAAATGGGTATTTCTCTGTCGGGATGTACACAGAACCAGACCCACCTCAACAGCCTGGCTATGCACCCCGCAGATACGCAGATAGAGGATGTTTTAATTGTGGGAAAGAAGGACACATGGCAAGATTTTGCCCACACTCACACCAGCTATCAAGACAACAAAAAGGAAGAGGGTATGGTGGACAGCAAAGAAGAGGAATGCAAAGGTTCCAACGGGGACGAGGAAGCTGGCAAGGAGGCCAACAATTTCCACCACCCCAGCAAAACCCTGGAGGAAACAATGGGCAGCCACAACCAGTGCCCAATGCGGCATTGCTACCAGGTATGTCATGGATGGGAATGCAACACCCCAACCAGGACCCCCAATGAAGCTGCCTAGAAACCCAATATAACCTCAACACCAACATCTACTCATTTCCACCAGGGTCAGAACCGGTAGTGTCATGTTTAATTGGAGGAAGAAAACATAATATGTTGATTGATACAGGATGCACATGGTCTTCTGTACAAGCATCATATCCACTCACTACCAAGACACAAGCTTTCTCTGGGGTTTCTGGGGCAATTATGAGAAAGCCATATACAGTTCCATTGGAAGTTGTATGGTATGACCTGCAAGTAACTCACCAGTTTCTCTACAATCCAGAGTGTTCGGTGGGGTTAATGGGAAGGGACTTGCTCTCCAAGCTGGGATGCAGCATCTATTGTAACCAAGAGGGACTGCATGCTTCTATCACACCTATTGATGAACTCATGCCAATACTCATGAAGGAACTCTCTGATCCCCCACGCATGCTGTACATGGGAACACACTCAGAAGAAGAGGAGGAAGAAGAAGCATATGTGTATTGGCTGAAGTTAATGGATACTGACCCTGATGCTCCTAGAGTATGCAGAGAGTTCCAGCTATGGAAGGCATGGATATAGACTTTAAAACGCATACTACCCTCCTGAGGACCCTCCACACGTCACAATGAACTACACCAGGGACCTGGATGAAGCATATGATGAAGCATGGGAAGAAGAAATGGAGGACAGACGACCAAGTGTGACAAGCAATCACATGTACATACTCAAAGAAGGAGTGGCAACCAGTTGCATGGTAATGGATGGAGATGTGGTACTGACAGACAAATGGTACGCACTTCCTGGTGACTCTGTGCCACATGTTACTCTCCTAGTAGGGTTTGGCTATGAGGCAAGATCATTGGGACCAGCAGTAAAGAAGGCAAGCTGCCTGCAGTGGAGCAAGAGCGCCTGTTACAAGATACAAAGCTCAGTCATGGATGGAAATCAGGTTTGGAGAATCTTACTAAACGTGGATGACATTGGAAAACCTGAAGTGGTGAGAAGATCTCGTTACCATGGAAGAGAAATGACTGACCATCCAGACACGGTCAACATCTTCAACCAGTTACCAGAACAACTGTGGACTTTAACTGCAGAGGATGTGGGACTAGTTGATGTAGAACCAGTGGTGGTTTCAGTTAGAAAAGACAGTGGCCTTACTATTCCAGTTTGCAAGCGCCAATACCCACTCAGTGAAGAAAAGACAAGGGGAATTGAGCCTACAATATCAGGACTTCAAAAAGGGCAAGTAATATATCCAACCTGCTCCAACTGGAACACTCCAATTTTACCAGTAAAGAAAGGTGACACTGGAAAATGGAGAATGGTGCAGGACCACCAGCCCATCTGAAATTAGCCCACCCAACTACCTCATCCCTATATTGTTATTTGTTTTGCTCTTTTGCACCCCAGTATCTCTGTTTGCACATAATCTCTTGCACATCTAGCATTCCAGTGTTAATACTATTGTAATTATTTTGCACTATAGCCTATTTATTGCCTTACCTCCATAACTTGCTACATTTGCACACACTTTTTTATATATTTTCTGTTGTATTTTTGACTTTGTGTTTTTTGCCCCATATGTAACTCTGTGTTGTTGTTTTTGTCGCACTGCTTTGCTTTGTCTTGGCCAGGTCGCAGTTGTAAATGAGAACTTGTTCTCAACTGGCTTACCTGGTTAAATAAAGGTTAAATAAATAAAAAAATAAAAATCAACGAAGTAACTGTACCGGACGTTAGACCTGTACCAGACCCATATCTGGCCCTGCAAAACATCTCACCTACCCAAGACTGGTTTACACTGGTGGACCTTGCTAATGCATTTTTCTGCATTCCGTTACACCCAGAGTCTCAACCACTATTTGCATTCACCTACAGAGGACAGCAATTCACCTATTCTCGTCTTCCACAAGGATATCGTGATTCCCCAGGAATCTTCAACGCTATCCTGAAAAGTCACTTGGAGGAGTTAACATTACCAGAAGGGGTGACACTGCTTCAATACGTTGATGATCTCCTGTTGGCAGCACCAACTGCTGAGTCTTGTTTGCAGGCCACCAAGTCCCTTCTCCTCTTGGTAGCTAAGAAAGGGTACAAAGTGAAGAAAGAGAAAGTGCAGTGCTGTAGGAGAAGTGTACAGTTCCTGGGGAGAGTACTGTCAGGAAAGGGACAAGCTGTCTCTACGGCCCAGAGGACATCAATCTTGGAACATCCCAAACCCACTACTGTACAACACCTTTTGTCATTTCTTGGCCTTACTGGATACAGCAGAACACACGTGCCAGAATACTGTCTTAAGGTGGAACCACTGCGAGCAATCTTGAGAGAAGCAGGAAACAGAAATCTCACAGCTGTCCTTAAGTGGACTCCAGAGGCAGAGGCAGCTTTTATCCAACTCAAACAGACGCTAGCGCAGGCTGAAGCACTGTCTTTACCTGATTACACCACGCCATTCTGTTTGGATGTTTCTGAAAGGGATGGTTATGTGCATTCCATCCTGTATCAGAAACAAAAGGGGGAGAGAAGAGTCTTACACTACTACAGTGCAAAACTGGACAACATTGAGACAGGACAAACTGACTGTGCCAGACACATGGCTGCCATTGCTAAAGCTGTAGGCAAAACAGCTCACATTGTAATGAGACATCCACTTGAAATCAACACAGACCATGGAGTGACAGCTTTTATTGGCTCTAAACTTTTCACGTTGTCCAGCAAAAGAAAATCCAACATAACAAAGGCCATCACTGCAAAACACATTACCTATGTGACAACCACAACCAACATGACTGATGGCATGGGTCAGGGAGAACCACATGTATGTGAAGACAGAGCAGCCAAACAAATCAAGGTTTGAATGGACCTACAGAACTCACCTCTGGACGGCAACAAGACCACCCTGTTCACAGATGGATGCTGCTATAGGTCAAAAGACCCAAAGGAAGGGAATGTTGCTGCCTATGCTGTGGTAAAGCAAGACAAGGAAGGAGAACACGAAGTTGTTGAAGCAAAAAGACTGAATCCCAATGAAAGTTCAGCACAACTAGCTGAACTTAGGGCATTGAGGAGAGCTCTACAACTAAGTGAAGGAAAGAATGTGGACATCTACACAGACTCTGCCTATGCACATGGGATTGCACACATTGATGGACCACAGTGGATGAGGAGAGGATTTGTGACCAGCTCAAATGAGCCCATCAAACACAAGGTTGAAGTACAGAAGTTAATTGATGCAATCCAGCTTCCCAAACGATGTAGCTTAGTTGATAGAGCATGGCGTTTGCAACGCCAGGGTTGTGGGTTCAATTCCCACGGGGGGCCAGTGTGGGGAAATATGTATTCACTAACTGTAAGTCGCTCTGGATAAGAGCGTCTGCTAAATGACTTAAATGTAAATGTAAATGATAGCAGAGAAAGCACCAGAGTGCGTGAAGGAAATGATCGGGCTGATCAAGCAGCAAAGGATGCAGGAGGATACACTGCCCAGCAGATGGTGCAACGAGCCACTCAAGGACAGGAGGAGTTGACGACAGACACAGTAAGACAGTTGCAAGAAGCAGCAGGCGCCTACGAACAGAACGTATGGAGCAGACAGGGAGCAAGGCAAGACCATCATGGGATTTGGAGATCTCACACAGGAAAAACAGTGGGACCTGCAAAACTCCTCAGATCAATCTTAAGGGAAGAGCATGAGAAGGCTCATGGAGGATGGAAAAGTGTCGCAAAATCAGTTGAGAAAGCATGGTGGCATCCACACATGTTGGACATGGCAAGAGAGACATCAGAGAGCTGTGAAGTGTGCAAACAATACAACAACAAAGTGTCACTTGGAGCAGTGATAGGCAGCTTCCCAATACCTGACGCGCCATTTCAAGACATTTGCATAGATTTCACGGACATGGGACAGGACAACAGAGTGGAAGGAAAAAGATACCTGTTGGTAATGGTTGACAGATTCACCAGATGGGTGGAAGCCATCCCCACAGCAAGGGAAGACGCAAAGGCTGTGATTAAATGGCTGAGGAGGGACCTCATTCCAAGGTTCGGGGTCCCGCGAATGGTCCGTTCCGACAACGGTACCCATTTCAAGAACAAACACCTGAGGGAGGTAGAGCAGGCCCTAGGAATCACCCACAAGTTCGGGTCAGTATACCACCCCCAATCGCAGGGACTCGTAGAGAGAGCTAACCAATCGCTGAAACGAAAAATTGCCAAAATCATGGCCGGAACTAAAGTGGGTAGATGCGCTGCCCCTAGCTCTAATGTCAATGAGAAACGCACCTGGGTCTGACACCCATTTAACGCCCCATGAGCTTATGACAGGACGCAGAATGCCAGGGCCACCAGCAGACAATCTTAGTATGCCTAGGCTAGATATTGCAAAAATCAGATACACAGACTACATGCAAGCGCTAATTTCTCTTGTTGAAAGATTGTCTAAACAGGTGGTGGAAGTGCGCACTCCTGCTGTTGAAACCACGGACGAGAACAGAGACATCCTGGTGGGAGATTGGGTGAGAGTGAAGGTGCATTCCAGAAAGTGGACGGAGCCAAGGTGGGAAGGGCCCTTCCGGGTAAAAGAGGTATCAAGCCACTCGTTGCGGGTGAACACGAGCAAGAAAGACGTGTGGTACCACAGGACACACTGTGCCAAGGACATAGTTCCAGGAAGGACTCTAGATCAGGTACAACAGGACTTGGCAACAGAAGGGGAGTGATGATGATGTTGTGGTTAGGAGTGGGGCTGGCCTTATGGGGAACAGTATTCTCAGCTCCCAATCAGTACCATAACATAGTCATTACCTTACAGGAAGGGGAATCTCAAGTGATGTCCCTAGAACCATATAAGATCTGGTCATGGAGGAATAGGGCTAGTGGAATTGGGGACACTGGTTGCAATTGGAACCAGAAGGAAAACTGTAACAAAATACATCCCCATGTGTTAAAGAGAGGTACTTATCTGTGTGAGGGAAAGTGGTGTCCATATTGGGACTATATGATCACAAATGTTGGCACCTTCTGGGAATGGCGTAGAGGCTATCCGTATGCATTAGGAGATGCTTCTAAAGCAGCTAGGTTTTCAATGATAAGGGGAGTACAGGGGTCAAAAGGGGGTGCATGTAAAGGTGATGAAATCCTACTAACCATCCAAGACATTAAACTTACAGACGCAGGTGTGTACACCTTAGCAGCAGTACGATCCGGACCAGACACCATGGGTATGTTCACCATCGCAGTCACACCCAAACCTGCAGCTGGGGAGAGACAGACCCAGTTGGACCACACCCCCGCTCCAGGACCAGCTCAACTTCAACCCACTAGGGTACCAAACCCTGTTCAGGTGAATAATGTTAGGGATATAGCGGACAGCGACCAATTGGGGACAGAAACTGGCTATGAAGGGAAAGAAAATATGTGGTTGGCATACATGAGGTATACGGCTAGGACACTGGCCAGGCAGAATTGTGTTATCTGTGGGCATGCAAGACCTGGGTTGGCAACCCACCCATTCGCTTTAGGAGAAGGGGAAGGATGGCAGTGCATATTGGAAGAGTTCTACCATTCACTGCCAAACACCACACTGTGCAAAGCCCTAAGTTTGATTTTCCCTGAGGTTCCCCCACAAAAGGCACCTGAGGGAGTTCAGGCTTATGGAGGTAATTACAGTTGCATTACTGGAACAGGTAAGGGTGTTAACTATGGTAGGCTACCACCCGGGGATTGTGCTGTGAATGTAACCATGAACAGCACTTGGCCAATAGAGGGTAAAACCCAGACAAAAGGGGTGGCTGATGTGTGGTGGATCTGTGGACCAAATAGAAAACTAACCCCGATTCTAAAGGGGGACTGGCAGGGCACGTGTGCATTAGCTAGTTTAATTATACCACTGACCATTATTGATGTTTCCTCAGACCAACTTTTGGGGATTGCCCAGCTAACCCCAGACAGAGAGAGAATGAGGCGGGGGAGACGTAGTGCCCCATGGTCAACTGAAGAGGAGATCCACTCTAACCTGTTGGGGGTGCCTGTGGGAGTACCATTACAGTTCCAGGCACTCAACAGGAACGATGGGTTGTGGCATTTGTTGCCAATCATAGGTCCTGCCATAGATGCTGCTAAACAGCGATCTTGGATAAATTACATATATTATAACCAACAGCGATTTGTTAACTACACACGCACTGCCCTGACTGGAATGTCCGAACAACTAGAGGCCACCTCTAGGGTGGCTAGGCAAAATAGACTAGCACTTGACATGTTGCTTGCTAACCAGGGGGGTGTTTGTAAGATGTTTGGGGAACAATGCTGTACGTTTATTCCTAACAATACTAGCCCTGACGGGAGCATAACAAAGGCCCTTGTTGGCCTGGAGAAGTTGTCAGCAGAAATGGAGAGCAGGGCTGGAGTGGAGAGTGGTGGGCTGTTCTCCTGGCTGAGTGACTGGTTTGGTGAGTACTCTTCTATGGTGGTTACTGGATTTCTGACCCTAGTAATTGTGTTTTTGCTGTTAATGTGTTGTGCTGCTTGCATCGTCCCCTGTCTCAGGAGGTCAGTGGTAGGAGTGGTGCAGGCGTCAGGTATGATGCTGTTGTTACCGGCCCAGGATGATGCGGGGGACTCTGCTACTGACTCTGAGACCAAGCTGGATGATCCATGGTTTGCCTAGTAAAATACATACACGCATTTATTTTCAGTTCTTGCTCAATTATTACCTTATGTTTTTACTAACCACTGTGATTGTTTATTCTTCCTGATGTGAAGGTAAAGGATTCCTGGGTGGCTGGTAGCCAACTCAGTACATGTTAGGTGTAGGGGAGGAATAGAGGGTTACAATTATTTATTTTTTATTAACATTAAATATTGTGATTTCATTTCCATATCCTGTTATTCTTAAGGGGGATTATACTCTGTTTAGAGTGACACCATAAATGGTGTCAAAAGAGGGAATTCTAAAATGTCCCTTTAAAAATCTTCAATCACACCCTAGAGTTTTAATAATCTTGTGTTTTGTGTTCTATTAATCCTGTGTTTTATGCTTTATTAATCAAGTTAACCATGTGAATGTTTGTCGTTCCTTATGTGATGGTTTGAACTTCTTTGATGACTGGTAACAGTTTGCAAGTTGGGTGTAGATGGAAGGACTGAAGGACTTTTATTATCAAATTGTCTATTAATAAAAGTGTTTATTTTTGTTTGTATTGTATTTTAATGAGTGACACCCTAGAGGGCGTCAAAAGAGGGAATTGTTGGGTTTTATTTTTCTCATAATTGGATCTGTATGTGATGAATAGCTTGGAAGGAATGCATTAACGAGGAGCACTGTACTGATATGGATTGTTTCACATAACAGGCTGTTATTCATGTAAGGAACGTTAGGGGTAGGACAGATAAGACTTGTATTTCTTACAGATAAGAACACTCTCTCTTTGTAGTCTGTGAAACTGTCCTTGAACATGGAGTACAGTGGAATGGTGTCTTTTTGGGTGCTGACTCCGCAGGTTATTATCATAGCAACCTATGCCTGGCAACAGTGCAACAAATGGAGTGCCGAGGAATTGGGACCAACCCCTGCGCCAACGGATTGGCTGAATGGATTCTGGACCACACTCAGTCCTTTGCTCTGGTTGGCCAACAGAAGAGGTGGAGGCTTTCTTGTCAGAGTATTTGAGAAAGAATCTGTAAACAATAATTCTAGTTCTCAGAGTGCCCTGCGTGGTATCTCGGTGGACCCGTATATACGAACCTTCATACTTATCATACATACATTTTGCATATAATAAATTAAGCTTGGATTGAAGATCTCTTGATTCTTATTCCAATACCAGATTTGAATTACGCAATTTCTAACAGAACCCTCTTCCAGCCAGGACAATGGCAACAATAGAGATGAAACAAGATATACACAGAGCAAACGTTTTACTTCATAATTGTCAGCTAAATATATGTAAATCGTAATCTAGCTAGCCAGCTAGCTAGTTAAACAGGCAAAAACTACCTAAAACTAATGTTCTGCAAGGTACAGTATATGTCAATTGTTCATGGGTAGCTAGCTAACAATTCTTTGTGGCTACTGTACAGTGGGGAAATAAAAGTATTTAGTCAGCCACCAATTGTGCAAGTTCTCCCACTTAAAAAGATGAGAGAAGCCTGTAATTTTCATCATAGGTACACGTCAACTATGACAGACAAATTGAGAAAAAAAATTCTCCAGAAAATCACATTGTAGGATGTTTAATTAATTTATTAGCAAATTATGGTGGAAATAAGTATTTGGTCACCTACAAACAAGCAAGATTTCTGGCTCTCACAGACCTGTAACTTCTTCTTTAAGAGGCTCCTCTGTCCTCCACTCGTTACCTGTATTAATGGCACCTGTTTGAACTTGTTATCAGTATAAAAGACACCTGTCCACAACCTCAAACAGTCACACTCCAAACTCCACTATGGCCAAGACCAAAGAGCTGTCAAAGGACACCAGAAACAAAATTGTAGACCTGCACCAGGCTGGGAAGACTAAATCTGCAATAGGTAAGCAGCTTGGTTTGAAGAAATCAACTGTGGGAGCAATTATTAGGAAATGGAAGACATACAAGACCACTGATAATCTCCCTCGATCTGGGGCTCCACGCAAGATCTCACCCCGTGGGGTCAAAATGATCACAAGAACGGTGAGCAAAAATCCCAGAACCACACGGGGGGACCTAGTGAATGACCTGCAGAGAGCTGGGACCAAAGTAACAAAGCCTACCATCAGTAACACACTACGCCGCCAGGGACTCAAATCCTGCAGTGCCAGACGTGTCCCCCTGCTTAAGCCAGTACACGTCCAGGCCCGTCTGAAGTTTGCTAGAGTGCATTTGGATGATCCAGAAGAGGATTGGGAGAATGTCATATGGTCAGATGAAACCAAAATATAACTTTTTGGTAAAAACTCAACTCGTCGTGTTTGGAGGACAAAGAATGCTGAGTTGCATCCAAAGAACACCATACCTACTGTGAAGCATGGGGGTGGAAACATCATGCTTTGGGGCTGTTTTCTGCAAAGGGAACAGGACGACTGATCCGTGTAAAGGAAAGAATGAATGGGGCCATGTATCGTGAGATTTTGAGTGAAAACCTCCTTCCATCAGCAAGGGCATTGAAGATGAAACGTGGCTGGGTCTTTCAGCATGACAATGATCCCAAACACACCGCCCGGGCAACGAAGGAGTGGCTTCGTAAGAAGCATTTCAAGGTCCTGGAGTGGCCTAGCCAGTCTCCAGATCTCAACCCCATAGAAAATCTTTGGAGGGAGTTGAAAGTCCATGTTGCCCAGCGACAGCCCCAAAACATCACTGCTCTAGAGGAGATCTGCATGGAGGAATGGGCCAAAATACCAGCAACAGTGTGTGAAAACCTTGTGAAGACTTACAGAAAACGTTTGACCTGTGTCATTGCCAACAAAGGGTATATAACATAGTATTGAGAAACTTTTGTTATTGACCAAATACTTATTTTCCACCATAAATAAATACATTCATAAAAAATCCTACAATGTGATTTTCTGGATATTTTTTTCTCATTTTGTCTGTCATAGTTGACGTGTACCTATGATGAAATTACAGGCCTCTCTCATCTTTTTAAGTGGGAGAACTTGCACAATTGGTGGCTGACTACATACTTTCCCCCCCCACTGTATCTGGCTAGCTAACAGAAGTAACTGTCCAGTTAGCTCTACTGACTTACTATGGGCTTGCGACCTACGTAAGCAGGTAACCATGCCAAAATTAACATAAAATGTATTTATTAATGTATCAAAATAAAAGACTGTAGTCAGGCAACATATGAGATGTGAATAGGCACCATTTCATTCCAAAGTCAGTGTATTTTCTCTTGCTTCAGGTCAAATATTGGCCACCATTGATTTCAAGAACATTTGTGTCATGTCTTACGTAGTCGTGTCATATTTCTTTGCATACGTTCAGTTGAAGCTTGCATCGATACATGCTTCAAAATATGTACAAACGGAGTACGAATTCGAGAGGTGCCCTCTGTGTTCCGTTTTGCATACTTTCATTTGGACTCATGTTCCGACCCATGTTCCGACCCTCCCGTGCTCCAATTTGCGTGCTCAGAGTAGGATGCATTTTGAGGAACACACAGTGTGTAGTAGTGAGATTCGGCTGGGTCCCAGCCCATTCAGGGGTGAGTGGTAATGAAATAGTAGACCTGGTAGCCAAAAGGGCTTTAAAACGAGATATAATTGTTATTCGTGCTCCATTGGGTAGAGGTGAGGCCACCCTTATGAAAAATATTGCAGTTAGAGTGCAGTAGCACTGCAGTATGCTACAAATACTGC